GTTCTGGTATAGAGTCACCTTTATTAGAGAGCTATTCTGGATTTAGTCAGACTCCAGCATCGGACATTGGTTCGAAAACCAAAAAAGGAAGCAAGTTATATTCCTAATGAGTTGTCTAACATTTTTGTCACCACTCTTTTTTGTGTGTTGCAGGAAAGTTGATGGAAGTAGTATGTGGTACAATGGGGTCATTTGCTTTTGCTAGTTGTCATTAAAATTTGTATACTTGAGGAACTTCTGAAGATAAAGAAATGAAAGAAAGCATGGTGAGTAGTGTCTCAAAGTATATGTATTATTAGAAAAAAAATAATTGGGACCATAAATAAATAAATAAGAAACTTACAATTATTTTTTTTTTGAATAAATTACAGTTATTAGGAGGGCTTATGTGATCATATGATAAAACATAAAATGGGCAAGGAAGGACAAAAATGCTTGGAATTGAAGTAGAAAAAAAAAAAAGAAGCAAGAGAAGGGAGCAAATATCTTTTGTTTTATTTTGTTATAAATACTGTAATTACCTATCAATTTTTTCATTTGTATTTAAGTTTGTTTTTTTTTTCTGCCGACAGTGTTTGTATCCAAGAAAAAAAAAATGTACCCCAAAAAGGAAAAAAAAAAAAGAATAATTGTGCAAGAGCATATCATCTTTTTTGTACTCACATTTGTCACGGATGGTTTGTTTATTTTTTTCACTTTTGTTTGATACCATATAGTAGTATCGCTTGTGAATTAACTATACTTTTTTACATTTCTTTTAATATAATAATATGATATAATATAATGAATGTGGGTTTGTATTTTAGTGTGTGGGGTTCTAAACTTCACTTGCCTTTCCTAAAGGTAATGTGTATAGAGAAAGATATCTTTTAAAAAAAAGTTTTTATATATATATATATATTGGAGTGCAATTATGCAAATTATAGTTGTAGCATATAAATATGATTTTTATGTTTGTTATATGTGAAAGTTGTTAAAAAAAATAGACACATGAGGAAAATAAAGGGAGCCAATAAAATATAGGTTAATATATAAATATGTTTTTTTTGTTTGGTCTTAGCTGATATTTATGTTTTTCAGTTTTGTGTATTCACAAGCAAATATTTAAACTTGTATAAAATTGAAGAAGTCGACATACATGTATTACCTGTGGATTTCCTACCTAAAGGGAAGGGGTACGATATATAGGGACTCAAGTCAAGACATTTTTTCATTCTGTCATGCCTATTTATGTGGCTCTCGACTCTAGCTCTCATTTATTGCTCGAGTTGTGATTATATTAAAACAAATAAAACTCTAAATATAGCATTGCTTCTCTATTGTAGAGTTTTTGAGCTTCCTCTGCCTATGAGAAGGGGTCTCTCCACTATCTTATTTACAACAAAAACTTTAAAATTCAAAATATACTTGGGATGTAAATTGTTATAAAATGTCATGTATCTACACGATGTGAATTGACAATTTTGGCACTTTTGATACCATAGCTTGTGAATTAACTATATTTCTACATTTTGTTGTAGTAATTTAATGAATGTGCTTTGTATTTTATTGTGTGTGGGTTCTAAAATTCACTTGCCTTTCTTAAAGCAATATTGAAGAGAAAGATATTTTATCTTTAAAATAAGAATCCTTTTAAGTGATTGTGTTGAGTGGAAAACACTTATTCGATTGTTTGATCAAGTAAATGAATATAAAAAGTATTTTAGGATAGAGCGGTAAATATTTTTCTCTATATATAATAAGAGATTTTAAATTTGAATTTTTAATATGAAATCTGATAGATTTTTCGACGTAAATCCGAATTTGTCGGTATAAAGAAAGAAGGGCGATGGTGTAGAACTTTAATTACACCAATGTAATGTGATATATTGTCAAAAAAAGGAAATTGTGTATTATTAAGCATTACTATATAGTACAACTTTATTTTATTTATAAAGAAAGCGGGACGAAAGAGAACAATGTCAATAATTGAAATATAATTTATAGTAATAATAAAACTAAAAACAAGCAGCCGGCATTTGTTTGTTGGTAAATCCATTTTAATTAATTTTAATGGTGATTAGGTTAATGATTATGCACATTAAAAGGGGAAGGGAAATTGAGTTGGCCTTCATATGAAATTATTTAATTCTATAAATACAAGGATTTTGACTTATATATGTATTGATGACAACACAACATAGTGTTAGGGACTGAAGGTTCCAACATCAAAGGAGTAGATCGATAGTAGTACATGAATATTCACATATTATTCATCAACTGCGTTTTTAATTTAATTTTAAGATTACAGATCGCTTAGCCTCGTTCATCTTTGGATCAGATGATGAGCACCTTACCTTCCATAGTTGAAATGTAGAGGGTTCAAACCCCAACAATAATAATGTGTATATCATTTCTATCATCTTTTCCTACTTTTTTTTAAAAAAAATTTCCACTATCAATACACTTTATTTTTAAAACGGATCGAAAAAGCTTTAAATAAGTCATCGAATTTTGAAAAAAGATTCATCTATGTCATCCGTTAAAAGATTGGTTCATCTACGCCATTTTTGTTTGAGGAAAAGCTTATCCATGTTATTATTTGTAAACTAAAAATATTTGTTTCAGTCAACAAATATGGCATGGACGAGCCTTTTCTTAAATGAAAATGACATAAATGAGCCAAACTTTTAACGGATGACATAAATGAACCTTTTCTCAAAGTTCGATGATATATTTAAGCATTTTCCCTTTTTAAAATTACCAAATTAAGCCTACCATAAACAATTGATTACATGTTGTAAGTTATTGATCTGATTTATAATTTTAAATTAAGCAAGTAATGTGGGGACTAACGGGCAATTGAACACTAAACATTGACTTTACTTAATTTTTATCATTGATTAGATTAATCAAGAAGATTAGGAGGAGAATTGTTATACTGAACATTTTATCATTTCATGTGCTTTGGAACGTTCCACGGATCTTATAGCAGCAAAATATTAATTTATTTTAAATAAATCACACACACATAAATGGAGAAACACTTTTTTCTGTCTCAAATTATTTATCGTGATTTTTCAAATAGTCATCTCAAATTATTTGTTGTTTCAGAAGTTCAAGACAAAATGATTTTTTTTTCATACACCTTGTTTGGATGGTTATTACTCGATGTGTTGTATTGTATTATTAATTTAAATATAATGTCTGTTTTGATTGTTACTTAAATTCTATTGTATCGTATAATTTAAATTCATCGTTAGGTAACGATGAAAGACCTCATTTTATGTAATGACCGATTTGGTGTTATCATGTTATTACCTTAATATTTTCTCCTCGTTTTGCCTTTATTTATTACTCCCTACACTTTTAATTGTCATGTTGCACTTTTTGAAAGTCAATTTGACTAGTTTTCAAAGTTAAATTAGATTATAATAAATTGATATTTTAAACAAAAAATTAGATATTCAAAAACTATACGGAAAGTACTATAAATTGCAAGTTTTTGCATATCAATATGAAAAAAAATACTTCGTAAAATGTTGGTCAAAGTTCTTATTGTTTGACTCTAAAAATGGTAACTATGACAATTAAAAGTGGATGGAGGGAGTATTCAATAATCATATTTTCTCTTTTATCCTACCTTTTTATAGTAAGCTCTACCCCGTATCCTACTTTTCCTGTAGGTTTATCATTCAAATTATGAATGTGTGATACTATGTAACGATGAAGAACGATACAATCTATTTAAACAATGTATTCATTAAAATAATACAATACGATACAATAAACACAACACAATACAAAATAATACTGATATATGATGAAATAATTATCGTTCTTAAAAACTGCAAATACCTTAATTATTAATTATGGGTATTGATGTTATGATTGTTCAAGAAAATCACTACAGCAATATATAATTTCGGCAACTTACATATGATATTAAAAGAATCTTACTTTGCTCTAATTAATAAATTCTAAAATTGGAAAATTGAGTAGCATCTTGATTGAATTTATGGCAACAAAATATTCGTTTAGTAATATGATTTATCTCCTTTATGGACCCATATATCCTGGAAAGGCCTTTAATTATGTCTACCACTTTAATCTGATTCAACAAAAAATATATTTATTTTGAATATATACGAATCAAATCATGTTTAATTTGTTCCAGATACATTATATACAAGTGTGATTAGTTTGTATGTATGAATTATGATACATGACTCTCGTCTCTCTTGCTTGCCTTTCTCTCTCCGCTCTCTCCCTATCTACATTTCAGAATGTATCTGAGTTTCACAATTATGTATCTCTGAGAATATATGTATATGGCCACTTCCTATATGTCTATTTGATAATTTTAGAGGTGAAATCATAATTTAAGTGATGTTATTAAGTAAGCCATTTTTGTTTAAGCTTGAGTATAAATGAGTTTTTGCTATCTTTACTGTTTATATCGCTCTATTTAAGCTCATCTTTGTTTAATATTATATAAAATAAGTTAGGCCCGGTATGTTCTGAGTTTCATCATGTCATGTCAGCCCCTACTAAGTACTAACTCCTACGGTATACAAAGTTGGATCTAGGATTTCAATTTGATGAATTCGACTGTTAAGATTCTTAGAACTGAACTCATTATATGGGCTCGGAACTAAGGCCCCACTGACCACTATGCATGTTTGGTGTTTTTCACGTAAAAATTTATACTCCGTGTCAAAACATAGCAGTATATGAAATGCCAAAATTTTAGAAGAAAGCTTGCCTGGTGCAAACTCAAATTTACTGCAGAATCACATTTTCAGTAGAATAATCAGACATAACATGGTGATCCAACCATTCTAACAAAAGAAGCAATGGCGGAGTCAAAATTTTCGTTAAGAGAGTTCAACATAAAGAAGTAAACACACGAAGAAGCCAATGTGATTCAACATTTGCTATATATACATAATGTGGCTCCGCTCCGTAAGGAAGTAGGTAGGGAAATGACAACTATAATGAACTCAGCAAAACCAGAATAAAAGTTCAGAATGATACATTTGAAGAAAAACAGAATGTTGAATCTGACTTAAGAACAATGAAGAAGTTTTTCGAGAATGATTACACGATGGTACTGAAATATTCGAAAAGAATGAAGAAACTGAGAATAACCAACATGTACAACTTGTAACATAACAGCAACATATTCACAACTCAACGAAGCAACAAAAACGCTTTCACAGATCGAAAAAAAGGCCTATAAATAGATAAATAAATACAGAAAAAAGACAACTTCAGTAAGTTCATAATTAACCTTCAACGCTGACTTCAGCTTGCACGACTATTGGATTTGATGGACGTGCCACATTGTCTTCTCCACAATTCATTTCAGACTCAGGTTGGATTTCGTTTTGTTCTGTTTTCTCATCTGAAACCTTTGCTGCTTCAGCAAGTCTTGATTTTGTTTCAGCAGGTTTCGTTTTAGTGATCGAGGTTTTTGGAGATTGAGCAGTTGTCTGTGAAGTCTTAACTGGCTTCCCTTTTGATGCAACGTTATCATTATTGGCTACGGGTGACTTACGTTGTTCCTTGATCACTCTTGGACTGAAACATGACCCTCCACTTTCGGAGCTATTAGTCATAGATGTGGAGTTCTTAGTTCTTCCAAGCTTAGGAGATATGGCGCGTGTTGTTGGTATCTGCACATTTTAGCAAAAACTTAAGCATATAACGCGAAAATACCTAGTGAATGATTCACACAAATTAGAGCTAACAAGAAAGGGAACATGAATTGCATAAGACGGAAGTGGCCTAAGAACGAACAAGGGAGTCAATTGAAAGTTAACAAGGGATGAAAACCAAAACAACAGAAGCTAATTTAGGAACACGAAATGTCTTTGCAGCCTTCTTTTACGAGATTCATTCAAGCGCCTTGATAAGATAATCAAAATTTTACCTTCTTCAGTTCAACTTTAGGAGGGGGCTCCTTGTAGAAGCAAGGCATCGGTGCAGCTTTAAATGTCAAGCTCTTCCTAAACTGCTTTACCTCTGCCTCTTGGTTTTCCTGAATCAAATCCCGAAACCACAAAGAAAAGGGCTTAGTTTAGAATAATTCTTACAAACTATGTCGCTCAAACTCTTCAAAAATATCGACAAGTATGACAACATTTTTGGAGAGTCCAAGCAACATAGCTTACAAAACAGCAATGAAAAAACAGTATTGTTTGAACTAACCTTAGATTTTGCTAGCAAGTTACTCTTTTCCTCTTCTCGGGCCTGTATCCTCTCTTCCACCTTTGCCAAGAACTGATGAATAGGGAAACTGAGCTGTAATTTTTGCACTATGCTAATACGTACACGATGGTCATAGTAACCAAAGGTTAGAGTACAAACCTCCTTTCGCTTTTCAGCACGTTCTTCCAATCTGAAGGAAAATCCAGCACTGGTACGAGTTGCATTGCTGATTATAAAAATAAAAGAAGTTATAACATTGGACTAATTGTGGACCATGATGAAACCTGACCAATGGAAACAAAAAAGTAACAACAAGTCAATAACTCAGCATAGGATAAGAGCAGTACGAGGAAGTAGCAGAACGAGCATCATCATCGTCTTTAAGAGGTGATGTAGCTTTAGTAGGTGTTATCTTTTCATCGGTTAATCTGCAAACACAAACATTTAGCATACCTATCAGAACAATCATTGGCCACGAAACATAATACAATAAGTTCTAAATAAGAAGTCCAATTTTATGAACAAATGCAAGCAGCAAATTTCACTTACCCTTCAGAAGTAGCTTTCTTGGCAATTTTACCGGCTGAAGAAGACTTCCCAGACTAAATACAGAAACAGCAAAGGAAATTTGTGAGATATTGCATCCATAAAACTCAAAGAAGGAAAAGGCAAAAGATCACGAGTGACTAAGTTTACCAGCGATTGACGAAGGTTTGGGATAGATCCTGTAGTTGTCCTTCTGCTTGTTGTAGCACTTCCATTTGGACTTGAACTCTTCACAACTCCAGCAGATGTACTCTTAGTAGCCGGATTTAAACGAGAAGCTGACGAGACTGTTCCATTCGAATGTGAAACCTCATGTGTCACCCCATTTGGTATCCAAGGTTTAAAATCCGATTTCTTTGTACAAGCATCGATGCTCTTCCTTGTCATGTCTGCATTGGCACCTCTTGTAGGGAATGAAAGACTTTTCGCCATACTTCCCTTTTTCGAACGAGTCAATGCAGACGTGCCTGTTGAATTTGCTTGATCCTTAGCCATTTTGTTGTTCTTTTTAGTACCACCAACTGATACCTTATGTTGATTCGATGCTTTACTTTTCGGAACATCCTCAACAGACAATTCATCTTTGGCTACAGATGAATTTGGCGTCTCATCCGCCTTCTCATTAATGTTCTTTAAATCCACATTTTCTTCCTCAGCCACAACAATCTTTTCCACCTCTACTGGAACCCCATTTTCAGACTCCATATACCAACAATATCTAAAACCAAAACAATCGATAAATACTCAAAAAAAATTGTATCAATCAACAATTTGGAAGCTATATTGCTCGGACTCTCCAAAATTGCTGCTTATAAAGGATCTGACACACAACTGACATTTTTGAAGAATTCGAGCAACATAAGATCAGAAGACAAATCATACAAGCCTAAAATCCAATTATAAAAGGAAACTTCACAAATTGAATTCACTTTCTTTCAAAAAAATCAAATCTTTAAAGAAACAACAAAAAAAAAACATAAATGAAGGGAAAGAGAAAGAACCCCAAAATTCAATTTTCAAATTCCAACAACAACAACATACCCAACGTAATCTCACAAGTGGGGTCGGAGGAGGTTAGGACGTAGAGAGACTGTTTCTGACAGACCCCGAATCAAAAGAAGCCTCAAATTCCAAAACCAACAATTCAGTTTTCAGTTCTTGATCTAAATCAAACAGAATTTCTGACAGTAAGACCATATACACTACTGCTTCATGATATAATTCATACTAAACAATACCATATAAGTAAGTAAACAACATCCTACTTCACAAGGGTCGGATCCAAGATTTAAACTTTATGAGTTCGAGATTCTAATTTAGTTATAACAAGGTCGGATCCAAGATTTGAACTTTATGACTTCAAAGTTCTAATTTAGTTAGAACAAAAATTACAGAGTTTGAACCAAAGTTACTAGAACGAACAAACCTATAACTAATGCACTATGTCTACCTCTTGCAACTTCATGTTAACATAATCAAAAGATTCAAAACCAACCCCTTTCAAATTAAAAAAAAGAAGATCCAACACACTTCAATACAAATTTTTTTTTAACAAAGATTGAATATTACTAGACTAGTACTATTTTGAAAATCTAACATGGCATAATATTTCAAGAAAATGAAAAGGGTACCTTTTTTTTTTTCTTTTCTTGTCTTGGAGATGATTGGTGGCAAATTATATGTCTCTCTGGAATTCAAAATGATAATACTATGGAATGACAAAAAACTGTGTTAGAAATACTGGAAACAGAGAGGAGAGAGAGGGGATGGAATTATGGATTTCACTCTACTTGGTAAAAATTAGTAAATGACCAAAATGCCCTTCTTCCTCTTTTTTTTATTTTTATTTTTAATGAGAAAAAATATTATTATTCCTTCCATCTTCGTCTATTTGACTGGACACAAAATTTTAAAATGTAATTTTTTTCTTGTTTGTGGTAAATTTAATTATTATTATAATATTAACATAAGATTATAGTAAAAATTGATAAACTTTAAATTCTGAATCTTGATCTAGATAGTGAAAATTCATTTATTTAGCATTTGTAACTTTTATTATTTCCATAAATGGATTACATATTGTTATACATTTCAATAATTTTGTCCCAAAAGATATATAGCATGTGGAGAACACGTCGTTTGGTGATAATTTACAAGCTTAATATTAAAATATGAACATCAACAACTTTAAAATAACAAAAAAGAATTATTTGCTTGATGAATATTCTTTGGTTTGATACTTAAAAAGGACAATAGACAAGTTGTTAGTAATTCTATCATTTTGTTCATTTGTTAGACATGGTCAATAGGCCATTCCAATTATTTTATATTAATTACCTAGTTAAAAATATATATAAAAAATTGCATCACAAAAAAAAAACAGTCTGATGCGCGACTAAGAAAACAAATGTACCATATCAAGGGTCTATTGTACATAATATTAACTTGTATTTCTATAAGATGTTATCGCAGCTCAAACACGTGACCTCCTGATCACATAACAATAATTTTATCAATTACGTCAAGAATTTGTACCATAATAGAAAATAATTAAATGGTGTCCATGGTTGTTATTTATTTATTGCTAATTTAATAACATGCATTAAACAAGCAAGATTAATTTTAATTAACTTGAAAAAAGAATTCTTCTTTTTTTTTTGGCAGTTGCATTAGAAAATTTCCATTAGAAACAAAAAGTTAAAGCCTGTCTAAGACAACCTAATCTGCTAAAAAAAAGATTTAAGGAAATGCACTTTTCTTTTTTGTTTGACACAAATTGAGCAAAAAAATGGTGTACTATTTACATTATTGAAATCAATAATTTGTCTTCTTGGAATTTCATAATACTCAATTATGACAAATTTGGACCAGATTCATAAGTTAAATGGCCCATATTTTTCTTTTTGATTTTTTATTAGATATAATGAAAACATGTAACAATTTAAACGGTCTTAATTGTTAATATATAGGGATAAAGGTCTGAAAAATACCCCAATTTTAGTCGGATTTGTCCTTGCGATACTAAACTTTCATGAGGACCTATTACCTCCCTAGACTATTTAATACCGTTTTACCCCCTGAACTATTTAATAGTGTATTTTAAAGGTATATATGTGCCCACGTGGACACATTACTATTTATAATTTTGCATTCTTTTTTATGTCCACGTGGGTAAATATATATGTTTAAAATACGGTACTAAACAGTCTAGGGAGGTAATAAATTCTCATGAAAGTTTAGTATCGCAACAACAAATTCAACCAAAATTGGGATATTTTTCAAACCTTTATCCCTAATATATATATACAAGGTATAGGTTGTTCGATTAGTTGGATTGTCTAATTAATTAATTGTTTTAATAACTTTTAAGATGTATTTGATGTCTTTGTCTAATAAAATTGTAACTTTATATAAATATTAGTTGAACATGCATGCCAACCTTATTACATGTTTGGCACATCTTTTATGATCTTTTAGGTTATTTTTTTTAATTCTTAATCATATATCTCAACATTTACCTTTCAAATCTCGAAAATATGATTTACTCTTGCATTAAGATTTTGTGACAATATATACTTCAAATTAATTAAATCCCATATTTTCTTAGTTAAGATAATTAATTAGTAGTACCATCCAATTAATAATGGTGTTGTCTCTTATTTTTCAATATGTATTATTATTTGCTTATTATACTTTCCTTACAATTCTGCTATAAAAATAATTATTTCGAGCCAAGGGACTTATAACCTCTACCAAAAAGATAGGATAAAATGTGCACATTCTATCCTTTCTCAATTTTACCGATAGAATTACACCGGAGTGAATATATTATTATACTTATAATTATGATAATTAGAATTTTATTTTAGTATCTTTAAAAATTATTCAAAAAATAACGCATTCCTTTTTATGAGAAAGAGTACAATAGTAATAACATTATATTCAGTGATTTCATAAGTGAAATTTGAGAAGGATAATATAAGTTAACAATCCTACATGAGATATTGAGGAGTCGTTTGGTTTGAATTCAAGTTATGATGAGATTAGTTATGATGTAATAATTTATGCTAAAATTATTTTTTATTGAGTGTTTGATTTGTTGTATTAAAAATAATAAATCTTAAGAACAATATATAAGTTTACAAAAATACCCTTCATGAATGTGAAAAGTAATGTACAAAAAGTGTTTAAAGGTATATTTTAGTCATTTTATCCCGGGATTACTATACCACCCAAGGGAAGGGATAACTTATTCCGATACTGATTATTAATCTCGGGATAAGTTATCCCAGACTTGCCAACCAAACAACAAATTAAGTGGCACTATAATTTAATCTCAGGACTATTTGAAGTTATCCTTCACACCAAACGACTCCTGAGAATATTATTTCGATTAACCCTCGACTCGAGATTAAAAAAAAATGAAGGAGGGTATTTATGTCAAAAGAAGTAAAAATCCAATGATTGTAAAAGTGGAAAAAACCTGCGGAAAGGGAACTGTAGTAGAACGTGGGGAGTTTCATGTATTATGAAACACTACGACAAGGGGCTGTCGCAGACGTGGCATGACACACCAACGTGCCTGGGTCCCACTTTTTACACCATATTTTGGGACCCACACATAACCATGACAAAATCTTATAAATTTAAGGGAAAAAAGACAAAAATACCCCCAAACTATCGTAAATGGTATGCAGATATCATTCGTCATACTTTTGGGACATTGGTGCCCTTATTGTCCAAAAACTTGAGCATATATGTCTTTCAGTCTAACGGAAGACTAAATAGGGACACGTGTCACAATCTTATCCGTCGATTATTTAATAAATGTCGGGTATGTGGATAAGATTATGATATGTCTATGTCCATTAGTATAAAAGGTATATATGCTCTAGTTTTTAGACGGCAAGGGCACTAATATTTCAAAAATATGACGGAGGAGATCTACATACAATTTATGATAGTTTGGGATATATTTGTCCTTTTCCCCTCAATTTAATAGTATATTTATGGAAGTAAAAATTAACATTCATTGTATTTTTGCTATCAATGTTAGAGTTTAGTTATTTTTAACAAAATTAAATATGAGATGATTTGTTATTTGTAAGAAAGTGAATGAATCCAAAATATAACAACAAATAATACTTTGCATCTATTGAGTTCCATTGAGTTTTAAGTGGTAAATTGATAAAATTGTGAGTAGAAGAGAATAATTTATAATCCGAGTCAAATATACAAGTTATATCTATAAAAAGATTTAAAAGTTTGTTTATAAATATACAGAAAATAATGTTTTTATCTTAATATATCGTATGATTTTTCAACGAATATGATTTAATTAAACATCCACACCTCGATAGAGCATCAAATGTATCAATTTGGACTGCATCCACATGATAATTTCTCTTAATTATGATAAGACTTCCAAATGACAACTAAGACTATTGATTTTGAATTGGTATTTTACCTAATATTGATTTCCCAAGTCTTTTTCTTCTAATTATTTTTTTCTTTCACACCAGAAATGAAAGCTCCTACTAAGAAAATAATCCAAAAATTAAGAGATAATGATCAAAACACGTCTAAACTATCATATTTTTGCGAGTAACTACCTTAACTATTAGTTGTTTATTTTTTCCTTTCTGAACTATCACCATTCAGTTTCAAAACGTGAAACTTGCAAAAAGTAATAATTCATGAATTATTTTTTTATTATTATCTCAAATTATTTAGGATAATGACTCTTGAATTAGTTGAGATGGACCCAACTTTATCATCATAATCTCTCTTAATTTATAACCCCACTCGGATGTGCATTATCTCCTCAATTAGTTTAATTTGTAGTACTATTTTTTTGGTACAACTCAAAATTATGTATTTATATATTATAGGGGCCAATGGCTATTTATTGAAAAACATGTTTATCTAATATAATGTAATATTATTTTCGATCGTTTTAATTAGTTTAAATATCAAACTCACAAACCCATATGGGGTAGTTGAAGTTGAATCATGGGATAATCAAATTAGTATAACGATAATTAAACCACTTTTTTCATTTTATTAGTGATGCTATTTTTATTATTTATATCATTATACAAAGAAAAGCAACAAAATGTAGCACCAAACAAGTACTTAATTAAAACACTGGAAACTAAGGTTCGTTCTAGTGATGGAGGACCTCCATTATCAATCAGTAGATTGGAGATTCGAGTTAATGACAAGGGTAAATGAAAATACTATTGATTTTCCTGAGTAGGATTGAGAGAAAAAGATCGAGAAAATACTAAAAACTACAGTTCGCTCTAGTGGTAGAGGACCTCCACAATTATCGAATGAGTTTGAGATTCGAATCAATATTGAGGGTAGGTGAGAGTACTATTAGTCTTCCTTAGTAGGGATGAGAGAAAAAGATCGAGAAAATACTAGAAACTAAGATTCATTCTACCACTATCAACCTCGTAAGTAAGTAAAA